TTGAAACAGAACAATTGTAATTTTTTGGATTTTGTTTTTACCTGCTGTTTTATATAGCAATTTGTTGCTAAGTGAATCCGATGATAGGAGCTTTCATCCTCTAGTCTGCTTGCTTTTCTGTCAAAAATTATAGTGAATACTTCTAATCTGAAAATTAACATACAGATTAGCTGGCAGGATACTTGCTTGGGGTATCTTAATTGAGTCTTTGTTCTACCTGAGTTGGAGCAAGTGTTTGAGACTTGTGATATCCCACCTGGCAACGAAGTCTGAATCACTGGGCAATTGTGTGTCCATTTGTGTCTGTCTGCTTCCCATATCATCTAGTTCTGGCCAGAAATTACATCCTGGATAAAAGAAAACTTTCATTATTTTTCAAAGATAAATATTTTTTTTAGAAAAAGTCCAGTTAGCTTTAGGTAACTGTGGAGTATTTTTCTATAGGAGTATGAACCTTTTGGTATCAGGACCCTTTGTTACTGATGCAGATCATATCAACTGTTCAGGAAAATGATACCTAAAAATAATATATTTTGCAATGACTTTATATTTCTTTGTTTGACTTTGTTTTGTAGTAATAAACAATTTTTCCCCCTAGATACATTTGAATCTGCTGATAATGCCATTGATGTTGGCCAGGATGACCTTGATTTTGCTAGGTAAGACTTTAAATTGGTTCTTTCATCTCTTGTTTTGATACCTATGTGGAGTTCTACTCTGCAAAATCAGATAGACCTTTTTCAAAAAGACTCAGAATATCACCTTGAAAAAAGGCAATAGCAGGTGAACGCTGGGTAATGCTGCTTTTCTGCATGTCCCATAATGGAGCATCATGATCCTGTGGTGCTTACAGTCTGCTGGCTTGACACGTGAGACCTGTAGTATTTCATTTATACAATGCAGTGACCCAGTAAGCAAGGTAAAATCTTACTTGTTTTTCATTGTCTCAGGTTTCTGTTTGAGCATTACCAAGTACAAAAGTAAGCAGAATGAGGCATAATGGTGCTGCTGCTGTAAGGACTGGTTGTAACTGGACCTAATGCAGTAAATAAACTTTGTGGAATCCAGAATCACAGAGCTCAGTTCTCAGGAAGTCAGCAGTTTCGTTAATCATATAATCATTTAGGTTGGAAAAGACCTTTAAGATCATTGAGTCCAACTGTGAATTATCAAGTAGCCTCTTTTTTACTTAAAGTATCTGCAATACAGCTTTCAAATCAGCACAGAAACTTTTTTTCTTGAGGTGAAAGGAGAACTAAAGCTTAAACTTCTAGTGAAACCTGAACATTTTTGTGATCCAGACTGGTGTGAGTAAAAAATAGCAAAAAGAGGAGACAAAAAAAGTAACCATCTAGTACATGAAGAACCATGTTTCCTTTCTTAAGAAAAAAAAAAAATGAAGTCTTATTTCTTGATTTAGTAGAGTTGCTAGGGATACCAGCAGTTTGTGTGTTTTACAGAAAAGACTTTCTGAAAAGGAGCAAAGGTACATAGGAGATAAAATACTGAAGCTGACATTTCTGTTAATTTCAGAACAGGATTCTCTCCAGAACTTCTTAAAGTGGTTGACTTTCATAATACAGTTCCATATACTGATGTTGAAAACATACCTGAGTGCATAATACGTGTCTCTTTGGTCTAAGCCTACATTTACAGTAGTTTGCAATGATGTTGAACTTTTCTAACATAGTGTTTGCTGGTAGATAGATGTTATCTGGATGCAAACAGTACTTTGCCAGATGAAGCGCTAAGCTTTGTTACATGTTTTTTTTAGTAATATAAAAAAGAAAACCAAAGATGGTAAGAAAGGCCAAAGAAGCGAGGATTCCAGTGCTGACTGGGAGGATTCTGATGATGATGATGAATTCAGTGATCTGGATGATGAGGAAGTCTCCTTAGGAAGTATGGAGGAAGACTTTGGAGAGGATATGGATGAAGAGGGAGGTGTATTTATGGATGTGTCTGATGATGATAACAGCCTAGGTAAAGTACCATTTATTATCAAAAACCAAGAAGAAAAAGCTTTAAAAATAGGTTATCTAATATGTAATTACATATATAAATTCAGACATAGTTACCCAGGTGGGAGGTTTGGCTTTTAAGTAAAGAAGTGACAACATGTCCTTCTCTGGACAATGAAGTCTTAAGAGAAACATTTCCTGGCACAGTCTCCCAGATGGGAGTGGGAATTAGGCATCTGGGTATAAAAACTTGCAAAGAAGACATGTTTCTTTCATTCTGAAAACATTGGCCGTAGTAAAAGTAACTTAATATGCAAATAACTGGCTACAGTAGGCAGAAATATTAAAAGATCTCAAACAGAAAAAAAAAAAAAAAGTGGTACTTGGTAATTTTTTTATTTCTTTAGACCTAGTTAATGTTGATTTTTTTTAGATGAGGTAACTTATATTTAAATTGCTGTCTCATAAGTAACAACTTACTCTTCTAATACGGCTATGCACCCAAATTTTTATTACCACTGTAATAATAACTGATCATTGCACCTGCATGGTTGTATGATTTTTTCAACTGAAAAGCACAGTTTACGCAGTATACGCTTTATGTGGCTGGAAAAGCACAGATTAATGGAGTGTTTCAACTAATAGGGTCACAGGGAGATGATTGAGGGTAGGGGAGGTAAGCTGTTCATACAGCTGTTAACACATTAATCTTTCATGAGATTATTATTTTACCAAACTTACCAAGCGGACATTCAAGGTTTACTTAACACCTCCTTTTAGCCTTTGTATTTTATGTACCTTAGTATCATATTTCATTCCTTTTTGGTGCTGTGGAAAAAAAGCATAAAGAATGGCACACCACTGACCAATTTTTAATTGTTTGGGTTGAAGAAATCCCAGATTTGGTTGTGTGCACTGTTTTAAACTTTTTTAATGTGAAGACTCGGACCATTATAACAAATATGCCTAAAAAGAAATTTTAGTCTCTGCTGTGCTTTAAATACATGTACAAGGAGTGAGAATGAGGGGTTCATGTATCTTTTTTTTTTTTTTTCTGTCAGACCCGAACAATGAGAAGCAATTGAAGTCTGTCGGTAAAAAGGGCAAGAGAAAGAAAGATATGGATTTTGTGGGATCACTTGAAGGTAAGGAAACACTGCCATGATTTCCATTTGAGAAGGCTTAATACAAATACAGAGTCTGGAAAACTTTGGAATCAGAGGGTTTTAGTACAGTAGATTATCTACACTTTTGGATTTGGGTTCAGGTTTGAATAAACCATAAATGAAAAGGAGGTTGTCCTCCAACCAGTGTGGCCTAATTCAGAGTGACAATCTGCTGTTGAAGGACTGCGAATCAAAGGAGGCACTTTCGAAGGAAGGATGGAGTTGTACTGGTGGTTTGTGCATCTGTTACTAACACTTGAAGCACAGGTTGGTGCTATTTAGTTCTTGGTTGGAAACTTTTTTTTTCTTTTTTTTAGGGGAGGTGGTTTAAAATAATAAAGGTTTTAATAAAGGTTTTTATTTTGATAAAGGTTTCTAACACAGCTATTTTAGATGGTCTCATTAAATAAATAAAAAATAAAAAACATAGTAACACTTTGTTTTAGTGTCACTGTGAACTTGACAGTGTCTCATAAGAATAATATTTCTTGCTTGAAGGATCCAACCGAGGAAAGAAGAGAAAACTCAAAGATGCCGATATACTGGCATCTGCAGAAGAGGTGAGTTTGATCAGCGTTTAGCAAAAAGTGCTCAAGCATTTTACCTGTTTCTTTGTAATAAAATACTAAAATTTCTCTCTTTAAAGTTTGGCTATCTGCTGGATGAAAATGCTGGGTCTAAGTTTGACAATATCGGAATGAACGCCATGGCCAACAGAGATAATGCAAGTAAGTACACGCTACAAATAGCAGGTAGTTGTAATGCTGTTTTACTTATTTCTCTTCAGATTCTGTACGTAAAAAGATGTACCTTCTTTAACTGAAATACTGTGTGATTTCTGACTGTGTGTAAGGACAGTAGCTTAATGTCAGTAAGACATGACTTCGTTTTCTTCAGTTATGAGAGATGCCCAGTGCTAATACTAACTGTGACTACAGGAGTGAATAAGGCTTCAGAAAGAGGAAGAGGCTATCACGTGGCCCTTTCACACTGTAACTAAGGACGGGCAGTACGCCGTTTGTCAAGCGTTTGTGTGAATTTTGCTCTGATAAAGAGTGTCCTGTATTCTTGGGGAAGGGAAGGCATGAGGCATGGCTGTCTTTACCTGCCTACCAGAGTATTTCCTTGCAGTACTGGTGAAGCAAAAGCAGTTTCCCAGAAATAATTCTAATGAATTAAATGTGTATATACTGGTTGACTAATTAGTCCTTTGTAGAGCTTTTACAAGTCTTGCTGGTGTCACCTGAAAAATGTTAACAGCAGCACTCAAACACTGTGTACTCCTAAAACAAGCGTGCCTAGCATTAGTAAAATACAAAGCAATGGCAAGAGCAGTCTTAAACTCTGAGATGGTAGGGTATGTTTTGCGAAATGAACAAAACAAAACTTTCTCTGGTGTCAAAAAAATTGGCAGCTTGCACTTTATTAACATTTATAAATACAGTAGCCAAGTTTTAACTTTTACATGATTCATCTGTATTCCACATCATGGTCAGAGGTATCCATCGCCTCCTTATTTCTCACCTTTCCTTACAGATGTCAAACAGATCCAGTGGGAAATAGAGCGTGACAAGTGGCTTCACAACAGGGATGTGAAAAGTATCATCAAAAAGAAGAAACAGTTCAGGCACAGAGGGCTGAAAAACAAGTACAAAGGCAAGAAATCAAAAAGATGAACGGGACATTTTAATGTGGACGTTTTTACAGTCATTCTAAAATAATTTTTTAATTAATCACACATCTTTCTTACTTCAGTTCTTGTTGCTTAACCATGTCATTTGGTCATTCTCCCTTATGCCGTGAATTCCTGACCACTCATTGGATTTGTAATACACTGAAAAACAGGAAAATCCATGTCAGCTGTAAGATAGGCATGTCTGAAGGTGAGCCACTTTGTGGCTCGTTTTGTGGGATGTATAGTCCTCCAGTTCTGAGGACTCTATCCAACAGTCTGACACTCCTGCCACACCTCTGCATAACAATAAACACTTCTGCAGTGTCTCCTGGGGTAAGTTTTAAGCAATAACAAAATGGGTTTTATACATAAGATGAAACAGAAGCTTCAGCCATCCTTTTTGAAGCCAACAACTACAAACCTACCTTCCAGAATTGATGGAAACCTCTTCTGCATTGTATATCTGAAATCTGACAAGGAAGATAAATCAGTTACTTTACCCAACGTATTTAAGACAAATAATTAAATGCACTATTTTTCTAACTAATTAGTTTTACCTAAATTTGTCTGAGCTCCTTAGTTACAGCCACCATTAAATAATGTGATCTGAATTTACTTTTTTTTTTAAATTGTTTCATAGACTGTATTCAGGTTACTCATATGTGCGGCCCTATCATTACAGTGTTTTCTGAGCTTCCTCACAATTGCAATAACCAAATACAAGCTACAGATTCACAGGAGGCTGAATGCCTCTCATAGACTGACATGCAAATGAAAATTGGGAAAATGACTTGGTTTCCTTACGCAGCTTTAGGTGTTCACTGAAAGCAGTAAAAGCCTCATTCTGAGCGAACCAAGTGTTAGGGGAGTTCACTGCACCTTACAGAACTACAGCTTAAGAAAATCTTCTGCAAAGGCATATAAGAACTAGGACCTAGAACTGAAAAGGGGAAGAAATGAGAAACCATGAATGCCCAGCAGCTCGTTACCAAGATAGGCTGATCCATCTCCACATTTTGGTGATATACTTTGTAACACAAATGCAAAGAAAGATAGCTTAAGTGTAACAGCCTGCCAGCTTCTCCATCTGGGATAACAGATGCAAACAGATGTAGTGTAGATGAAGTTCAGCTTGAACGTGGTGGAAGACCACGCTGCTGCTGAAATGGGTTGGCTCGCGCTCTCCCAGCCACAGCAGCAGCTGCCCCGTGGCTCGCAGTGCCCCTGCAGCCAGCGGGACTGACTGCCCTTTCCTGCTGGGGCACAGGTCTGTCCAGCCAGCGCTGCACCCTGCAGAGCCCTGAGTGCAAAGCAAGGGCACTGCTGTGCAGGGCAAATCTCCTTGTAACTAAGCTGGGGCTTGGCTTATTTTTGTGTTACCTAGGCACTGAGTCATAAGTCTGAGAGACTTGAAAGATAGAAGCTAAATCATCTGGAAAACGGTGCTGGCTGCCTCGTGCCAGCCAGGTCTGTTATCTGCCTGGGAGATGTCAAATCTCAGAGCCAGCGAGGCCCAGACGTGAGCCAGGGGGTCGCTTCAAGGGCTGAACACGAGATGCCTGAAAAAGGATTGATCAATTCCTGCCTCATTTGCAGACAGCCTCTCCTGTTTTAAGCCCCAACTTGAGCCAACGCTGTTGCTATTAAAACTCGCCGGTGGTCACCTGCTGCCTTTCAAACGTTTCCTCTCGGTTTTGCTTTTCCCAAGCTAAAACAGCCGCTTGTCCTCGACGATCCGCCTCACAAGCCACTCCCGTCTGCCCGCGCCCGGGCGAGCCCAACCCCCCC